TTTTTTTAAATTTTTAAGAAAGCGACAAATCGCTCGCGCTGAAGATAGTGTGAAACCAGTCTAGATCAAACCAGGGTCCTTCTCAGTACTCACGCTAACAAGCATGATTTCATTCATTAAAGGGCTTAGCACGCCTCTCTTTCTCTCAATCGATCAAATTTTGCAAAACTCGAGGAATTTCTTCCCCTTCGTTTTCACCGCAGTGTTCAAAAAGTTTTGGAAAACTTAGGTCAATGCAATGAATTCAAGGCGCAGAAAAGTAGGTGAAAAGTGCTGCCGTTCTATTCAAATTTTCTGGCACAATTGGCGCACGACCGAGGCAAACACAAGAGTGTGAAAATCACTGCTGTTTCATTCAAATCTGTTGGCACAACTGGCTCCCCGGCAGAAACAGACTCAAAAAAAAACAAAATGACAAACACAAAACAAAATAGTGATATTCGAAGTAACACCCCCGGAATCACCCGACTCTAACAAAACAGGACTGACTCGATACAATAAGACAGACCCTTAATCAAAAAGACCAACTCAAAACAAAGAGACAGACTCGAAACAAAACAACAAGACTGACCCAATACCTAAGTCAGAATGTACAAAAACCAGCATTCACAAATGCTCAAAACAGTGCGTGCCATACACCACATCTGGAGTAAACTGAGTGCCGTCCGCAGGTGGTTCATCCCTGGATCACATCAGATTATCCCCCAAGTTCACTGATCCGGTGGTGATAGACTTTGCTGAGCTGGTGAGAGGATGACCCCGTTGTCAATCAGATCTTGCACTTCGTGATGAAGACGAGAGCAATTGTCAGTACCATGACCGGTTTGTTGATAGAAGGCACAGTATTGGGCAACATCATGCGTAGCTGGAAGAGGATTCGGAAGAGGCCGAGGCTCAAGGGGTTTGAGATGGCCTTGCCTTATAAGGATTTGGAAAGCTTTGGACAAAGGCATGTGGAGGGCATGGAAGACCCTTTGACCTCGGGGTTGGTACATCAAAGTTTGTGGATTTTTACGGGACGCACCAGCAAAGGGCTTGGCAGGTGTTGGCCTGGTTTGTTGATCTCTTCTGGGTGCAGGATTATAGCTGAAAGGAACGTTTCTGATACAACGACCCTTCTCCCGGCTTGCCCCTTGATTCAAACTGCCCCCAACTTGAGTGGCAAAAATATCATCCACAGTTTTTGCAACCACTGCAAGCACTTGCTGTTTGTTTAGTCCTTCGGCCTTCAAAGCCTAAACAGCCAACAGAAGATGTTCATGGGGACCAATGCTTGCCCCTACCTTATTCTTACCGTCTGCCTCCACTTTGCCAAGGGATTGGCATTCCTCAAATACAGCCCGTTCCAAGACTGGGGAGCCTTTTGACATGAACTCCCTGGTATGTGATGTGGTTGATGACGGAGCCGATGTCCCGGAGGCCAAATCTGTCACAGTTCTTTGAAGATCTTCGATCATCCTCTTCAGCTCAGAAGTAGTGGGCTCACAGGTTTGAGATGATTGGGGTCCAGGTGCATCCATCACGCATAAGTCCATGCTTTCCGGGATAAACACCTCAGGCTTGGGTAGAGGGACTGGGGTGATGTATACGCTAGGGTCGTAAGGGACGGCTAGTGTGTGGATTAGATTGAGGTGTGGATGAGGTACTTGGTCATTGGGGTTTGAAGTTGGAGCTATCGTCAGGTTGTCGATGAGATTTTGGACCTCATGACGAAGGCAGTAGCAACAGTCGGTGCCATGACCGCGTTGTTGGTGGTACACACAGTACTTGGAGGGGTTATGTCTGGCTGGGAGTGGGTCAGGCAGAGGTTGAGGATCGAGGGGTTTGAGATACCCTCTTTCCATCAAGACTTTTAGTGCGCTAGTCAGGCTCATATAGAGAGGGGTGAAAGTTCTGCCCTGAGCTTGGGCTGGGCCGACGGTTTGTAGGCTTGGTTTGGCAAAAGGGTTGGTTGTGGTGACTGTATTGATTTTAGTGGGTTCGGGAATAGTGCTACTTCCAGCATTGGTACTCCTTGAAATCATCCTCCTTGTAAAGAAGTGCCAAACATGGACTGCTTTGCCACAAAGATCCCTTGTCTGATGGCATCCTCGATTTGAACCCCCATTTCATGAAGGGCTGGAAAGGTAAACAGAGGTAGAACGACCATCTTTTGCAGCAACTTGCCATGCAGATTCCGAACAATCATCCTGATCTGATCTTTGTCGGAAGGCCTTGTAGCCATCATTGAGGCCTTTGCTCTCCATCTTGTCACGAACTCTGAGAAACCCTCCTTTGGCTCTTGGCGGGTGACTTCGAGATCACGAGTCGTGACCTCAATCTGTGTGTTATAGGAGTATTGAGCAATAAAGGCCTTAGCCAGCCCTTCCCAGTTCTGTTTCACAGAGTTCTCCAATTTTGCATACCAGATTGCGGCTATCCCAGACAGGGTTCGGCCGAATAGTGACAATTTCTGGGCTGTGGTCAAACCCATTGGCTTCAAGATATCAGAAAATAGTTGGAGGTGCACCATTGGGTCCCTGGACCCATCAAATTGATCAATGTACGGCATTTTGAACCTGTCCGGTAATGTCACCACTGAGTCGGTATAACCATCCTCTATATCAGGAATAGAGCGGGCCCCCTGAGACTTTTTGAACAATTTCTCAAGCTTGCTCACTTTCAATGCTGTGGGGTCCGTCTCAAACTCAAAGGGGGAGTCCGGTGGGTTGATTGGTGCTTTAGACAGCTGGGGTAGAACCGGGGGCGGGGCTGGCCCGCCTGGAATGTCCGTATCATCCTGGACGTGGGTTGCCTCCCCGAGTATGGGAACTCTTGGTGGGGGAGGGGCTTGGTGCGAAGCAGATGCTCCATTTTGCTGTTGCAGCCTGGTGATTAGCTCAGCCTGTTGGGCAATGATCGCAGCCTGCTGTTTGGCGAATTCAGCTTGGCGGACAGCATCTTGCTGCATGAGTTTCATACTTTCTTGCATCTGGCGCATCATTGCCTCCATCCCTGATGTGTTCTCCTGATGCATCTAACTGACTGATATCTATCCCTGCAGTAGAAACTGAGACCTCAGCCTGACTGTTTACTGGTGGGGTGGATAAGGGCCACTGATCTGGTAACTGCTGAACTGGTGATTTGTGCCTGACTGGCCTTTTTACCCTGCCTCTATTGCCCTTGAACTGAATCTCTGACCCGACAAAGTCTATCAACACAAGTTCGGTGTACCTGGGGGATATTGGAGCCTTCTGAAGCTATAGTTCCAGGACTACCCTAGCAAAAGGGAAAACAGAGAGTATCACAACCTGATTTCACAATAACCCATATGAGCAAAGCTGAATGATTGTGCCTCTACAGAATTCTGCCCGTAAACTGATACCCTCAGGTAAACTGGATCCCAAAATACTGAACTGGTACCCACAGGCCTGATGCCCAAACTTGCAAACTGATACATGCATTCCTGTAGAGACCCACTCTAAAAGCACATAACAGATAAGTGAGAACAAAAACACCCCTATGCTGGGGTAGGGTTTCCCTGTCCTATTTTGTCAGGAGCTAGGGTTTCACTATGCACGCAGCGGTTTCAAACAACCTATGATCGGGTAAGCAACCTGTCCTAGCTTGGAATGGTCACTATGGATTCCGAATATGCACTAGGTCGAATGGTCAAAAGGGGTGCCCGGTAAAACCAGGGTTTGTGTTCCCATACTGGCAGAGCCCACAACCGGTCAGCCTTATGGTCATGCCTTGACAAGACAAGCCTCTGGCAAACCGTTCAGGAATAGCAGATGGAAAACACGGTGTCCTAGGCGCACCAATGCAAATGCAATGCAAAGAGACACACAAGTGTAGTCAAAACAAGATATCATGAGTTCGAGTCAAGTTCTCTAAGTCCCCAGCAGAGTCGCCAGAAACTGTAGACGTCCCCGAACGCCCCGGGAGGAACGTGCTCCCGTTCTGTTCATTTGAGGTCACTACAGCTCAGGACTCTCAAATTGTCACGGTTCGTAATCTAAACCAAAGAGTCCAAATCTGGCAAATCGTTTTGAGAAAACATATTTTTTGAATGAAGTGCCAAACATGGACTGTTTTGCCAGATACAGAGTCGCCACCTAAATATTCTGTTTTGGGAAATTTAGGAAACCCTGACTCGTTTGCCTAAGGCCACGTGTCCGTCATCACCAAAGTTGCCTCGGCTCGGGAACTTGGGTACGATTGGGGAAGGTCACTTCGTGAGCACCCCCGCTCGCCCGATCAAAGATCGGCCTCTACTAACCATGATATCTAGTTTTGAAAACATTATGCGTTCTTAATCCGGTTATTAGCCTAGATTACTGTGTGATGCGCACAGTACACAAGTATAGACTGGATCGCCTGAATTGGAACAAAACATTTCATGTTTGTTTTTTGGAAGATGGTTTGCTACTCGCAAGCAGGCTTAAAATGCAGATTTTGCCACCCTCAGGTGGGCTTAAGAAAATATGGTTTTTGCCACTATCTAGTGGGCTTAAAACTCACAGTTGATGATTTGTTCCAATCCAAATAACCCAACCTTCACCCACAGGCATTCAACACATTTCCAAGCAAACACACCACCAACACCTCCTACAAGCACCCGATAAAATGCAGACACAGAGAAAACACGAAGAAAACACCTTAAGAGCCTTGGACTTCCCAAACTAAAGAATCTAACCCATCCCCCCCATTCCGCAAGCCATACAGAAAGCTTAGAAGATTCACCAATTGGTCTACCTCCCAATCCTGTATAAAATGATGAAGACGAACATTCCAAACAATTGCGTCCCCGTGTGTAGCCTTAACCGAAGCAACCAACTCCTCCCATCGGTAGCTATAGCGATCCGGGTTTTTCCCCGTCCTTTGTGGTATTCCGGACTCGAGTTCCGAGTTGTGTGCTGATATTTGTATCTTGTTTCCATCCTTTAATTTCTTATATTTGAGTTTTGGGATGTGTGGGGCAGGTTTGTAACAGGTTGGTTGTGTTTGTAAACACAGTGTTACTGCCCAGTTTTTGGTGTCTTCGCTCGAGCGAGGCTTTTGTCACTCGAGCAAGCTTTGAGTTTGTATCTATGGGTAGACTCTTTAGGAGGATTAGATGGTTCCTGTTCAAATCATAACACGTACAAATCATCAATTTTTGGATCTTGATTTTCTCCTCTTCTTATTCTCTTTCTCTCACACGCATACAATCATTTTTAGCATATATAAGACATTATATGCATTAAAATTGGAAACAGAAAAATAAAATATTGATTTTGCAAAAAACAAATTACCAGAACTGAGCATTACCAACGTACCTGGCCATCTAAGATTCTTCTAAATTATGATAATTGTGATATTTTAAGTGCAAGTTTTACACTAACAGAGATATTAGTTACTGCTGACAAATTAAGCGGTTCATCCGCAGGAAACGCTAAAAACAAAATAATCTATAAAATGGTCCTGTTTTTCTTTTGTTGTTATTGTTTCATTTGAACTTCTCAAGCTTCAGCAAGTGATTTGCTTACAGAGATTTACAAACTAACATATCCACTGTTTATTATTGTAATGTTGACTAACCTATACTTTTTTAGATCTCTATTATCAGAAGGTAGGCCACTCAACCCTCCAAATAACTCCATTTTTATGCACAATCGGGTTAAACTTTCAGGTAGTTGTTCATCCAATAAATCCAGTGCATCATGGTGTGGGATGCATGTGTGAGTGTGAGAGAGAGAGGGAGGAAGAGAGGGAACGAGGGAGAGAAAGAGAGATTAACCTGTGAAAAAGACAGTGCAGTAATATCTAACATACTAAAGAGAAATACAACATTCATAGTGTCTGATCTCCTCGAGTGTTAAACTGTCTTGGTGTACATTTTAATTATGCTAATTACTGCAGAACAATGACTAACCTGAAGTTCTTTATGATCTTTATCATAAGATGGGTTAGCTGTTGAATCCAGTGACAAATTCAATGCATTTTGAGGGGCCAGTGGAGTTAAATTTTCAGGTAGCAAATTGTCCAACGAATTAATTTCTGCCATCTGTTCATCAGAATTTTGGACCTTTAGGTGCGTCTCTGGATCAGTGCACGATGAGGAGGTTTGCTCAATTGAAACCATTTTGTGTGAGTCATATTTAGGAGACAAGGATGAACTTAATGGAATAGGAACTTTTTCAACCATCGATTCTGGCAGCATGGCTGATGGAATGGGATCGTTAGAACTCTGGCTAACCCCAGAAAAGCCAACATCCATAGCACCTCGTTCACATTCTCTATCTTGAATTGATTCCGATATGTCCATTTTCTCAATTTCCCTTGATGGGGAGTCCTTATGTTTAGCTTTCTTTTCAAGCTGTGCTTCAAAATCTTCAGATGACTTCGAATTTACGTTTTCTTCAACTGGTTTATATGACACCGAGAAGGTCTGATGGTCTCCCTGTTGTTCATATTGGACTTTATCAGACAAAATAGGTTTACCTCCAATTTATTCGTAAGGTTTTTATAATTAAATAATAAATATATATAAGTTTGTAAATAAAAGAGATAAAATAAAATAATACTCCTATCTCATAATTTAATGAATATAAAAGAGGTTAGAGATGGGGATAAAATAAGAAAGTTGTGTTACAGTAAAATGGTAATAAAACTAAATAGGATAAATTATACTAATCTCTTTTAAGGTTTGGAGAAAATACAGCAAGTTTCACAATTTTAACAGAATTACATTGATCTCCTTTTTAGTAAGATTAAAGAGATCAAATGGTATGAAGGCACAAACATACACAAGAAAAAATATATATTTTAATATAAAAAAAAGTTACAAAAAAAATAAAAAAGATGATAATATCATTTTTTTCATTCATACAACTAACGAATTTATGATGAAAAGGGGAGGGATCAAGTGTTATATGAATTAAAACATTAAGAAAATCTAATGTAATTATGCCAAACTTATGAGACTTACTCTATTTTCTTCAAATCTCGGGGAGGTCAGTATAATTTACCCAAATAAATAAAGGATTTGGGGTATAAGTACATAGGTCGGGCTATTAGCAGCTCCCATCTATGCATGTGTTTGTTTTAGAACATTTTCAAGCATTTCGTCAATTTTTTCATTAAATTCAAATTTTAAAAAATGGGTAAAAGTGTACTCTCGACCATTTCATCAAATTCATATAGGAAAAACACTTTTTTTCACCAAATCAATAATGAACCAAATTCTCAAGAGTCATATTTTTACTCAAATGCCTTGTTTGGCAATTATTTTTTTTTTGGCGGTCTAAAATTCACAAGAAAACAAAATAAGTTAAAATAGCTAATATGCTTGGGAAGAAAAAAAATAGCCAAATTTAGGCTAAAAATCACAAAAAGACAAAATAGGCTAAAATAGCTAATAAGACAAAATATCACATCAAACCCATAATCATTTCACTTTTTCTCTCAAAAACATCACATCCAACCACAAAAAAATCCAATCATCTTCCCAAACACAAAAATTTTAGCCTACTTAAAATAGCCATAAACTAAAATAGCCTACTAAAATAGTCACTTCCCAAACGAGGCCAAAATATCACATCAAACTTATAATCATTCCACTTTTTCTCTCATAAACATTTCATCCAACTAAAAAAAAAAATTCAACCATCTTTCTCAAATACAAATATTTTAACCTACCAAAATAGTCAAAAATTAAAATAATCTACTAAAATAATCAACCTCTCAAAGGCGGCCAAAAATTTGATGAAATTTTAAAAATAATAAAGATTGTAAATTGTTTTCTTTTATAAAAATGGTTAAATCAGGTTTTTCAAAAATATTTGATGAAAAAATCAAATTTTGAAATGTTCCATGGATCAAGCTTTTAACCAAACTTTCACTCAAATCTAATGAAAACCCAAAAACAAATACAAAAGTTAGGAATGGAGAGGATTTCGTTCATTATACATGTATTTCTGGGTATACATACATGTGATGCTAGAGTCTAGAGAGAGAGAGAGAGAGAGAGAATGCATACCTGGTGAGAGAGGCCGTGGGAGGATAATGGAGATGCTGTGTGTGCAGACGTTTGGGGGCTAATTGACGTTCATATTTTAATTTGAGGGTTATTTTTTAATTTCTTATAAAATGGTATATATAAAAATAAAAATAAAAAGTGATAGGATTGAGTGTTTTACTTTTTTTTTATTATTCTAACTAACTTCAATTATTACTTTTTAAAAATTGATTACTTTAATTAATTTTTTTAAAAAATATATAAAAAAAAAAAATTATGTGATAATTTATAATAACTTTTGACTAAGGGTTGTTTTTGTATGACTTATAGACTAATTTTTTTTCTTATATGAAAATACTTAAAAAAAAATATAAAAAAATAATATAATTTAAAGTTAACTAATACATTAAATTCTTTTTAGAATATTATCAAGAAGATTAAAAATTTAGAGGCTATACAAGGCGAGAATTACATCACTTTTATCTTTATAAACCCCTTCAAATCACTCCAATGTATTGTAAGGTTTTATAATTAATATAAATATAATATAAGTTTGGTAAATAAAGAGATAAAATAAAATAATACTCTATCTCATAATTTAATGAATATTGAATATTGGGTGTCACGCGGTTACGTGTCCGTCAAATAAGTCAACCGTTGGCCTTCTATTTATTAAATTTATTCAAAATTAGATTTATAATTTTAATTTATGAATATTTTAAATTTTTTTAAAAAAAAAATCCTCTTACCTTAAATTTAAATCTTTTCACATAAATTTCGATGAAGAACAAAAATTTAGAATCGTTTTATCTTTTTAAATTTTTTAATCACATTTAAAATTTAATGAAGATTTGATAATTTTTTAATTTGATAAAAAAAAAAATATTTGTCTTGATTCTGGATAATATTTGAGTTGAAATGATTGAGATGATTTTTTGGCTAGTAATTTTTATCAAATTTAAATTTGATGGGAAAAATTAATGATTGAAACCGTTTCATCTTTCTTTCTATCAAATTTGTTTTAACAATACTTGACTTGATCACCCATGGTGAGCAACATCGAATGTTTTTTTTTTAAAAATACCATACACATAATTTTTTTTAAAAAAAATATAAATCATTCTTAAAATGCGTTCATGCTTATTTTTAATTAAATTTTGTTTAACATACTTGGACTTGATATAAGTACTCAAAGGTGAGCAATCAATCCTTTTTTTTTGTTTTTTAAATACCTAACATATCTTAAGAAAAACCTCTTATATCAAATTCAGGTAAAAAAAAAAATTTAGATCATATTCTTTCATTTTTTCAACAGTTTTACATCAAGTGATAAAAAAAAAAAAAAAAAAAAAATTGTTGTCGAAATTTTAATAACAATATTTGATTCATCTCTCATTTGATAGAAATTTTTAATTTAAGAATTATAGCATTTGACATAAGTTTTGTGAATGGATTGATTCCTTTCCATCAAGATGTAATTTAATGAGGGATTTTAGTAACGAATTGAAAATGTACTTGGCCATATTTGTTTTCATGAGATACAATATAGGATTGGATTTCGGCAGTGTTTGCAAACAATTTTTTTTTGATTTTTCCGACTAAAAGATAAATCTTTTTGCAAATCAAAAAAATAAATTCAAATAAATCATAAATAATCCATCAAACCAATAATCATTTAACTATTTTCTCTCACAAATATCCAACATCAACCACAAAAACTCAACTACTTTTCCAAACACAAAAAAAAATTTTCCAATAATATCCTACAACTAAAAAACCACTATAAACGTCACTTCCGAAACATCCGCCTTCATGTCAGCATTTAGATTATATATTTTTGGTTTGCATATATTTTAGGAGAGGCTAATGATTTTCATAGTTAAATTAAGGAACTCATTGTGATGTTGATTTCTTTTTTATCAGATGGTCCTTTTTTTGTCAGAGGTCTTGTGCTTAATGGCCAAGTTGTTTCATATAGATTGTAGATCGTTGTTAGATTGTGTTCCATCGAACGATCTAGATAATGTCAGATCATAATGATCTAGTTGCGCGACAATACTGATCATTGATGAAAGTTGATCAGACGGTTACTTCTCTTCGTCATGCCAATCTAGTAGTAGCCCAATATGTTGTATCACCCTCAAATTGCATTCCTTTTGAGAGTATATATATTGTCTATTCTTTCTATTTGGGTTTATATGGACTTTTTCGGACTAGCTTCCTTTTTTTACCCTCCACAATGCTGTATGAACACTTTTATTTAATTTGTTTGGAAACAGGTTAACTTAGTAATTTTTTATTAATTAGCCTGAAAAGTAGGTAAAAAATTTTGTATGTTTTCGGCGATGATTTTTTGACTTAATTACGGAAAAGCTATGCCAAAGTAGAGAGAAGCAGTAATTGTTGACATATTTTAGATATTGACTATTGGCATAATTGACTATTTAATAACTTTTTACTATTGCTAAAAGGTAAGCATCTCTCAAACGGAGGCCTCTGTCATCAACCAAAGACGTAAAACATCCACAAACACTATCTCATTATCGAGATGGATGCTACTTTATTTGAACCATCATTCACATCATAACCAACACCAATTTTAAATTTATAAAACCAATGCTACTTAACTTTAAGATAATAACTCGCAATATTTTTACCTTTTTTTTAAAAAAATATGTATCATAAAATAAGGTCGTTTTAAAAGGGAGATTATTATTATTTTAAAATGCCTGTAGGTTAAAACTAACCCATATATTGCACTCAATTTTGTTTTCTCTTGCAAAGATGTGAAATCAATAGTATACCAAAATTTTCAATTTAAATATTATCCAATTAAACAAAGTATATACTCGCAAACACAAGAAAAGTGTACATAACAATTGGAGTTCAGCACCTTGGATCTTCTTCAGCATTAATTTTTTACCACATAACATAATATATAAAATTTTGTACAAATCTCCGTACGATAAGTTGTGACTTGTAGAGATACGTTCATTTCAACCTTAGAAATTTTGATATCAAAATGCAGGATAGATTGCTCCAAGGGAGCAATTAACGAATAGTTGTCAACCTAGATTTCTCTAATCCATTTTTTCCATGGATTCGTTTACCAACTCCACTCAGAGCCAATCTAATCTGTGCTCATTTGGATGTGGATTAATTTTTTTTATTTTTTAGCTTTTTTTAGCCTGGTGGTTAAAAAACCTCATTTGAGATTGATTTTTTGATTTTTTTTGATTTTTTTAGAGAAATAATAATATTATTGATTCGTGTGAATTTAGTCTTATTGATTTTTGATTACTTTTAGATCTTATATATTATAAGTAAATTGCCTAAAGTCATGCCCATAACAAGACCTTTCACAATAAGTAGGTAAGTGAACTATCATAAAATAACTCATTTAGTCGATTAAAGATGACTTCGGACATAGCATGACAACACGCATCAGCAGAATG